GTACGAATGGGTTAGCTCGACCTATCAGGATCAAGCTCTCACAGAATACCAGCGTAAAATAGCAACTTAATGCTGCTGTGTTTCGTATGGTGTTAAGTGTAGAGAACGAAATGACTGGCGGTCCACCACTGTGCGATTTAAAAGAAGTTTTCTTCCTCGCACAACTTTCCTGTGGAATCGACTACCACCAGAGATTTTTCCGGACCGATACGACTTAGGCACCTTTAAGAAAAGAGCGTACTCCTTTTAAAAAGGCCGGCATCGCATCTGCAGTTCCGCTGGTATTGCAGTTGTTCAAGGGCGGCGGCGATCACTTACCATCAGGTGAGGAGTGTGCTCGTTTACCCCCTCTCTTATCCTATAAAAAGAGCCTTTTCACTGGAAATGAGGCATTCCATCTTAGTCCTCAGGGGTGGCAACGCATCTACATTTTAAGGCTCCGTGGCGCAGTAGCTTAGCAATGAGTTGTTGTGCTGGGGGGCGCGGGTTCGAATCCCGCACGGAACAAGTATTTGTATGGCCTACAAATAATTGTTCCGGGTCTGGATGTTTGTCCTTGTGCAATTTGTGTTTGTAAACTGCCTCCAAGATACAGGAGAAAATCCTAATGTGGGGGTAACGTTTTTTAAAAGAAAAAAAAAGAAAAAGAAAATTCTTAATCGAGAATAAATGTATATTTTTTTTTATAGGATAAGGGTGACAAACGAGCACACAGTCCACCTGATGGTAAGTGGTTGCTGTGGCCCATAGACATCTACATCTATCCTCGTTTGCGAATCAAAATGCAGATGCGTTGTCACTCGTGAGGACTAAGATGGAATGCCTCTTATCCAGTAAAAAGGGTCTCCGGTTCTCTACACTAACCATACGAAACACAGCAGTGTTAAGCTGCTATTTTACGCTGGTATTCTGTGAGAGCGTGGTCCTTCCCCGGTCGAGCCGAGCCATTCGTGCTACAACTATACTACTAATATAGCTGCAGCATGGCTCTACCACGATATAAAATATATATGTATGTATATGTCTATTGGCCACAGCATCCACTTACCATCAGGTGGACTGTATGCTCCTTTGTGCGCTTATTCTCTATTTAATTTTTTTAAATAATGTAAGTAACAATAGAACCTAACCTCCACACTAAGATTGTCTTGTCTATCGTAGTGGCAGTTAACAGACATAATTTGCACAAGGAAATCATTCAGACCTTAAAACAATTCTTTGTAGGCACAGTAACGCAATGCTAAGTGGCTTACGCCAAGAAATCGTCAAACTTTATACTACTTGCTTTGTATAGTTTATACTATTACCATACATGATGCGTATATACAAACAATCAAACTTTATTTTTCTGCCAACTTCCAAAAAGGAGACGGTACGCAATTTGACTGTATGTTTTTTTTATGTGTGTTACCTCATAACTTTTTTTTTTCAAATCAAATCATTTATTTGCAATCCAAGTGTACATAATTGGTCTTAAATTAAAGATGTGCTTACAACTTAGACGCCCTTTTCAGGCACTGCAAATTTGACAAGGGCACTGCTTATATAGTTATAACATACATAAAATATTATTAAAAGCTATAAAAAAATATAAAATTATATAATAATGTTATTTTATATCTAAATACTCTTCTACTGAGTAGAAGGGGTTTTGTTTTAAATATTTACTGAGTCTTGATTTAAATTTCGTTAATTCTGATATATTTTTAATTTCTTGTGGTAATTTATTATATATTTTTATTGCCATATAGTAGGGGCTTGCATTTAACATTTTTGTTCGCGACTGTGGTAGGTATAATTTATTTTTGTTACGTCTTACTTTTTACTGGGTGAACCGGATTCGATGATTCTTTTTTATTTGAAAGCTGATACATCTCGTGTGGCCCCATATGAATTTGATCAAGGTCAGACCAATAGTTATTGAGTTATTCTTAATAACTTATATTGTAGTCGGCTGTACAAAGTTTTTAATTTTAAATTATTTTAACTTCATACAAATCTTAGTACCGTGCGGAAATAGAACCATGACTGTAGCCGGTAAGACACATTTAACTGCTGTGACCCTTGCATAATACAAAAATTGTAAACGCTTTAGTTGTGATAGTGTTTAAACAAAATTTTGAAGGGGCCAACTTTCGAAGATATTACCACTTTGCTAGGACCATGGGTTATGTGTTTATGAATGGATTGCCTTAATTACCAGAAATGTTATTGAAATACTAGCAATCCGCTCCGGCTTCGCATAGATAGAACCTATTAATGTGGCGTTATTTAGATAAAGATATTTTTTTGCAATTTATAATTTTTTTAAAAACATTCATATTTTCCGGGTAAATTATAACCTAAATCCCTCCTGACATTGTTCTCTATCTCTTCGTAAAGTATTATCACAATAGGTTCAGCCATTCCGAAGATTTTCCCGGACATATAGACGCATTTATACATTTTATACGTGGTAAAGCCATGCTGCAGCTATATTATAGTTGTAGCACGAATGGGTCGGCTCGACCGGGGAAGGACCACGCTCTCACAGAATACCAGCGTAAAATAGCAGCTTAACACTGCTGTGTTTCATATGGTGAGTGTAGAGAACCGGAGACCCTTTTTACTGGAAACGAGGCATTCCATCTTAGTCCTCACGGGTGACAACGCATCTACATTTTGATTCTTAATCGAAGATAAATGTAGATGTCTATGAGCCACAGCAATCACTTACCATCAGGTGGACTGTGTGCTCGTTTGTCACCCTTATCATATAAAAAAGGCATAATTTAAAAATTGTAATTTACGCCTTCATAGCATTCAAATAGCACACCGGGCTTAATAAAAACCAGTTATTTCAACATTACAGACAGGCACCTCCATTTTATTTATAAAACATGATTTTAAAGCGCGTAAGTAAAACCTGTAGCGCGGACTTCTCCCTTGACTCAAAACATTCTCAGTAATATGAGAAAGTCTGTACAAACTTAGCTAAGGAACGTATGCAGGTTTTCGTAATACACGATGGAGACAGATACGACTTCGTATTTTTATTAAACATTTTTTTTATATTTCTTCTATTTTATACAATCAAATGACGGCATATTTTTTATTAATTCATTAATCAAGTAGGTATATGATTTTCGAATAACTTTTTTTTATATAGAATAGGTTAACAAACGAGCACACAGCCCACCTGATGGTAAGTAGTTGCTGTGACCCATACACATCTACATCTATCCCCAATAAAGAATCAAAATGCAGATGCGTTGCCACCCATGAGGTCTAAGATGGAATACCTCTTTACCAATAAAAAGCGTCTCCGGTTCTCTACACTCACCATACGAAACATAGCAATGTAAAGCTGCTATTTTACGCTGGTATTCTGTAAGAACGTGGTCCTTCCCCGGTCGAGCCGACCTATTCGTGCTACAACTATATTACTACTTTTTTTTTAGATTTGTAATATTTTTTATTTAAAAATATAATGATACTAAGCTACAATATTACAAACTATAATAATAAAAAAAAACTAAAACTAGAAACTTAATTATCATATAGTCCTACTCACCGCGGTATCGTGCCAAGAACGCTGGCCGCGTTTCTCCGCTGAATGGCTATACTTAGCCTTTGAGCGAGAAAAGAACCAGCCCTCTTATCACCAACAGCAACGACCAGCCGTGATGGAGTTCCTTTAGGAACTTCACCGCACCTGGACCCCACGGACCGATAGTCTCTACAGCAAATGGCACAAATATGTAGTCATCTCTCAGAGACTCATATTTGCGCCATTTAATCAGTTCAGCTGCCTCTGATGCCGCTCCGGCTCTAAACAAGGTACCCCTGAGATGAGAGGCCGCCAGAGTGTCTACGCAAGTAGCATCCCACACTAGGGCTTTACCTCTCTCCCAAGGGACCAATGTCATACCGTCGGGTCTCCTGCCATCGTATCTAAATATTCTACAAGGCTCTAAAACCGAGGAAATATTTATAGAGAGCGCTTCGGATGACATCGTTCAAAGAACTGTGTCGTGAAAATCTATATGAAAGTCCGTGGAGCCCAAACTTATCGACGCTGCTACCACAGGGGCACTGATGGGGTTGACAAAGCGCCGGCTCCTAGTCGGATTGCTACGGCGATACGCAAGCTTTCCCCATCAAGTAATGTGCCGAGATTACTTGATGGTAAAACGTGTAACCAGTGACTAGATTCCTTAGTCGAAACAGTTAGAACGCGTGCCTTACCTTGGTCACTATGGAAATTATGAAACAAATCTTTCTGCACGCCCCGTACCAACTGAATATCCCACTGTTTTTGTTGGTTAACTTCCAGTGGAACATTTTCACCGGGACAGAGCATTTACCATGTCTGCCCTACCTCCGTAGCAAAGCATAGGTCTACTTTATTATTTAAAATTATGTCACATAAGTCACTGACACTATGCACGGAAGCAAGGAAAGCAGGCAATGCAACGCTAGAAAGATTTCTCACACCAATGCCACCAAATTTTATAGGTAAAGTAGCTTGAGTCCAGGCTGTTGTATTTAAAGTTAAATTGAGAATTTTTTCTATAGCTATTTTAAGATTATTATCAATATCTTTTAAAATATCTGAACATTTCCAGACTGGACTCGAGCGGAGTAAGTATGTAAATCTAGGTACAAGAAAACAATATTTTAAAATAGTAAGAGCTATGTGGGGGTTTAATTTATACAATTTATCAAGTTATTTATACTTTTTTATACTTTATACCATTATTTTTTAATTAATTAAATTCTGATACAATCATTGTTTCATATAACATAGAACAATATTTTTCAATTCATCATTTACGACTATGTTTAGTAAGAATCTTAAATAATTAATAATATTTCAATCAATAAAACATTTTAGATGTTTACATATTACTGTATATAAATTCAGAAGATAATTGAAGCATATCCAGTCACTTAACAGATAATTATTATATATTATTATTTGTAATTAAACAAAAAAAAAGCAATAAAACCAAACTCACCTATACTGCAAATCGGCGGCCGCGAATATATACTGACTGTTGTACACTCCACTAAACAATATCGGTAGAAAAATCAAACAATAGATCTGCAGCTGGTAGCGACCGAACTGTCCCAACTCCAGCAGGATCCCGTCCACATCCTGGTCCGGCTTGCTCATCTCGATCACGGATGTTAATACTGCAGCCACATTACGGCGCACTGGCGGCGCTCGCGATGGCCAACTGATAACTGGCCACAGACTCAACACACCTTATTTATTTCTATCACTGTGAAAGAAACAGTTGCGGATATCAGTCGGTATGAAAATATAAAATACATAGCGACTCGTAGTCGTTAAAAGGAAGCGAAGACAGGGCTTAAGTTTGTTTTAAAAAGATATCCGGGGGGCGTTTAGTCTGTACCAACGTATTCCTCTGCTTTTCCATGGATATACTAAAACAAATTATAATTATTCACAAATTATTTTTTTACAATACAATCACTCTAATAGAATAATATAAATAAATATCTACCACAGCCATGTACCTTTGTCTTTTTTTTATAGATTAAATATTTTAAAAACTACAAATTATAAAAACTTTCCAATTCTATCGCCGTTCTCAGATATTCAGCAAATTATTTTAACCAACATGTGATTTAAAAAAAAACCCGACTGCGTAAAAAGTGTATTCTAAAGAGAATAAAGTTTTATATCCAGTGACACTTCTACTACTAAAATTTCAACGTTACCCCGTATGTTAAGATCCATCAAGCCATTTAGGCTGCAGAGCGTACCAAAGAAATAGACATACATACATACATTAATTTCCCTCCTTCTGGGGCAGTCGGGTAATAAAGACAGACGCACTTACATAGTTCCCTCAATCTATGGGGGAGGCCTGTATTCAACAGTAGACTTGATACGTAACGGTAAAGATTACCACAAGCTTAAAGAAAACAACTAGAAAGTCGTTCAAACAGTAACATTAAAAATTCTTCCCCTATTTTCATCTTTAGGGTTAGAATTTTCTACGGTGTACATCTTCTTCAAATGGATATACGAGAACTCGTAGAACCACCCCTGAGGTATAAGTTATTTAGTAGAATAAACCACTGAGACAACCTATAAACTTTTGTTTAAGATATAATTTCTCAATTATATTAACTAGCGACATCTAGTGAACGAAAGGTTATTAACTCTCATTGACAAAAATACCGTTTAAGATAATTATAAAAAGGAAAAAAAAAACATGCAGTGGAATTTAGAAGCTGCCTCTTTTGTTCACTGTGAAAGAAACGTTAATTAAAAAAGTAAATTGATAAGCGTATTTGGAGCAAAGCCGTTAAATTAATTACAGAGACAGACTGACTATCAATAAAATATCTTTTTCATTCAGGTTTGTTCCAATTGATAAGAAAAACACACGTTAATAATAATAATGTCATTCAGAATGAAATTTCTTTACAGAAAAACCAAATAACTGATTTTCGGCCAGACCTGGAATTCGAACCCGGAACCTAATTCGACGGCTCCGTGGCGCAGTGGCTTAGCAATGAGTTGTTGTGCTGGGAGCCGCGGATTCGAATCCCGTACGGAACAAGTATTTGTATGATCAACAAATAATTGTTCCGGGTCTGGATGTTTGTTAGCGTGCAATTTATGTTTGTAAACTGCCTACACGATACAGGAGAAAATCCTAGTGTGGAGGGAACGCTATTTTAAAGAAAAAAAAAATTTTCAGCAGTCCCGCTTCCGACGACAAGACCAACGAGACAGCTTATAATTTGGCAACTATTGATGACACTTGAAGTTTTGTTTGGCTGTTGGTAGCTACATATCTACAATGCAGATGTTATAATGGATAACTTGATGTTAGACACTGTGACTAATTAAAAAAGAATTTGTAAGTACTTTATGGTTTAAAAGTTAATTAAGTTAAAAAATATTAAACAATATGGTTGTCTAAATATTTAAATAACTATAATAACACTTATAATAATATTGCTATAATTATTAAAATTACATAAAAACTTATTAAAATTAATAATTATATCATAACAATAATAATTTTTTTTATGGGAGTGGGTGCAAATACAAACGAGCATGCGTTTCACCTGATGGTAAGTGACTAATGGCGCCCATGAGCAATTGCAACACCAGGGGAATTGCATATGCGTTGTCGACCATTTAAAAAGGTGTAGGCTCGTTTCTTGAAGGTTCCTATGTCGTATCGATCCGGAAAAATCACAAGGAAATTGTGCGAGGAAGAAAACATCTTCTAAATCGCACAGTGGTGGACCGCCAATCATTCAGATGGTGTGGATGGTATCGGGAGTTCTGCCGCGATGTGCGTTCGTGAAATTTGGTGGCTGGGATTAATCCGAACAATTCCTCAGAGCACTCTCCATGGTAGATGCGAAAGAAAATGCAAAGGGATGCAACATCTCTTCGCAGTGCCAATGAATCGAGCCGATCGGAAAGGGCTCGGTCGTCGACGATTCGAGCCGCTCTGCCTTGGATGCGGTCGAGAGGAAGGAGCTGGCACTGGGGAACCCCGGCCCAGAGATAGGAACGGTATTCCATGTGAGGCCGAACCTGCGTCTTGTAAAGTTGAAAGTGGTGTACCGGCATGAAGTACTGTTCCGCTCTGCTGAGCACGCCAAGCTTTTTAGAGGCCAATTTGGTCTTCTTTTCCAAGTGACCACGATAATGCACGTTATTCGATATCGACGCCGAGGATTCCGAAACTGGCTGAGGCAACACGGCGAGTGCTCTGAAACTGAGGAGATACGACAAAGGGGTTTTTTTAGCGGTAAACGCGCAAACTTGTGTCTTCTAGGGTTTGAACTGGACTAGATTTAGTCGCCCCCAATCCAAGACCGAGCCGTGTATTGGCGGTTAAGAATATCTACTACCCCATATCTTCCCGAGGGTGTCGCAAGAGGCGACAGAGGGAAACTGAGGCAGAAGATGGGCAGCAGCATCTTATAACAGCAATATTACAATAAAAAAACTGCGGTGGACAACCCGCTCGGCAAGCGTGGCAACTATGACAAACATCCTCCCATCATGAAAGTTACGAAGAGACGGTCCCCAGTCCCCGGCGGCGCCGCTATTCCTGACTACGGTGGCGACCATGGTAATGGAGGGGCAGGGGGTACTAAGAATCTCCGGTGGAGGTTCGGTTGCCACCTAACACGACTCGACCTAGCAACATACAACGCATGCACCCTGAGGAATGACGGGAAAATACTGAAGCTGGAAGGAGACATAGACAAGTTGCGCTGGGATGTTATATGATTATCTGAGGTCCAAACAGAGGTGGTTATACTCAGAATCACCAAACGGTCATCCACACAAACTCGTTGAAGGTCATACAAGTTTACGCACCAACTTGGACTTATCCCTTATTGAAGGAGCAAATGTATGAGGATATCTCTAAAGCCATACATTCCTTCAAAACTCACTATACAGTGTTAATGGGAGACTTCAACGTAAATCTAGGCACAAGAGAGAACGGTGAGCTGAAGGTAGAAAAATAGGGTAACGGAACCCAATGGGTCAGCAGCTGGCCAACATCATGTAGAAAGAGGGACCCTTTATGCTGAATTCCTTCTTCCAGAACCGGCCCCACAGGAAGTGGACCTGGTCAAGCCCCGATGGTTCGACAAAAATTAGGTTGACTTCAAAATAACGACTAGACGACAACTGTTCAGTGATGTCTCAGTGATCGCGAGGATGAAACTCGGCAGCGACCAACGAATGGTGAGAGGCACACTGAACCTAAACGTTAAGTTGGAGATGTCTCGTCTAATGAAGTCAACGCTCCGTCCCCCTCGTGCTCTAATCCAAAGTCCCGAAACCTTTCAGCTCGAGCTACAAAACCGTTTTCAGTGCCTAGATGATTTCAATGCAGTGGACGATATAAATGACAAGCTCGTAGAATCTGTCCATACGGTCAGAGCTAAGTTTTGCAAGACCCGCCGCAGAAGAACACAAAAACTCTCCGATCACACTCTTAATCTCATGGCTGTTAGACGGAAAATGAAGCTGAAGTCTTCAATAGATTTGACAGCATACAGGCAATTGAACAGACAGATCTCCAAATACATGCGGCGGGACTTACGCAACTTTAATACTGCTCTTATTGAAAAAGCGATTGAGCGGAACCAGGGCTCCAAAGTCTTTGCTAGAGATCTGTCTACCAGAAAGAGCCAACTGCCTCAAAGCTGAAGACCGAGTGTGGCAATGTCGTTTCCGATACACCTGAGATTTTGAGTAAGATTGAGAGGTTCTATGGGCAGTTGTACACGCCATCGTTGGAGCCACACGCAAGTGTGGTAACGATACAACCGACGTCAGTCTGAACGAGATTAGAATAGCTCTCCAGCACCTTAAAAACGGCAACGCCCCAGGCGAGGATGGGATTACAGCATCTGAAAGCGGGTGGCAAACCGGTACTTGAAGTCCTTCAGAAGCTCTTTAACTCCGTCCTTCATGGTGACAATACACCGGAAGCGTGGAGCAGAAGTGCGGTGGTCTTGTTCTTCAAGAAAGGCGACAACGCTCTCTTGAAGAACTACAGACCGATTTCCCTTCTGAGCCGCGTCTACGTGCTGTTTTCGAAAGTCATTACGAATTGCCTCGCATGCAGACTCGACGACTTCCAGCCTCCTGAACAAGCCGGTTTCCGAAAAGGCTTTAGCACCATAGACCACATACATACCCTTCGCCACAGCTGTGTTAAATGAAGCAGACGTACGACGATCAAAGTCTTATGCTAATGCGAAGGCTTTGAAAACGAAGGCTAACAAAAACGCCGTAAAAACAAAAACAGGCAATAAGACAATGCCCGCGCCGGAAACACAAAGAGATTACAGAAATGGAAAGGGACAGAGAACCACAGAAATGGCAACTCCCCAGCTAACAGAATCTCGCCCTCAACCTCCTGAGTCCACAGAAGAAGTATAGATCCCAGTACTCAAGAGAGGTAGTAATCGCAAGGCAGGCTCTGTTAATCCTTCCAAGAGACCGGCATCTATGAAACTTCGCTCTCCAAAATCCGCGGCTGTGGTTATAACACTGCAGCTCGGGGCTGAAGATCGTGGTCTCACATATGCAAAGGTGCTGACAGAGGCTAGAAAGAGGATTGACCTTGCTAGCCTCGGTGTCGAATC